GTGGTTCCCAAACTTTATCAAGCATCAGGGTCACCTAGAGGGCGTGCCAGATTTCTGGGGCTCAGTCCAAGCATCCCCATCAGGGACAGGGACTTTGAATTTTGTGTCTGACAAGTTCTTGAGTGACACTGCTGAGGCCGGCCCAGGGCCCAAACTTTGAAACCCACTGCCTAGAATGTCACAGAACTGCTCAGGAGGTGGCACTCAAGTGTTTGCCTAGAGTGCTTGGGTGCTCAAACCTATCATCATGTTGTTATTCATTCATTAAGAACAACAGAGATTTAAGAAATGACATAATAACGATGTCGTTAGCCAATCTGTTACCACTCTATGTATCAAACTGGTGCACAAACTGGAGAAAATCACTTGTCTTCAGAACCATCAGGACATAATGAATGAATCGTGGGAATCTGGGAAGATGTTAGGAAATCCTGATTTCAAGGTCCTTTCCTCCACACGCATATAGGAAGCCCCTGCTGTGAAGCTGTAGCCAGCATGGAGCTGGGTGTCGGGCACGGGCTGCTGGACGTCTACTCCTTCAATAGTGATTCCCGAGACCTCCTGGCCCTTCACTGGAGAAAAAGGGTGAACAAGTCAGACGCTGCCCTGCTCTCCTGCAGCTCATATTCTCTGGGCAAAGGAAGACAGCAAATAAACAGGAGAGTTTCAGATGGCAGCAATGGCTATGGTGGAATTAACAGTTTGCTAGGGCAGAATAATGGCGTGGACTGGAAGCTGGGTGCTCAATTAGCTGGGGTGACCGAGGAGGACCTCTTTGAGGAGGTGACACTTAAGCTGAGACCTAACAGGTGACAATGAGCATGTTCTGAAGAGAAGCGGAGAGGGTGTTTCAGGCAGAGACCAGCAGGTACAAAGGGCTTGAGGGGCACCAAGGTTGGCAAGTCCAGGGAACTGAAAGGCCATGTCTCCAGGAAGATGAGTACCGGCAAAGGAACTTGGACACGGTGTCAGGAGCTGTCAGGAGCTGGTTTTAAGTGCGAATGGAAGCTACTGGAGGATTTCCAGCAAGAGGGTGACATGATCTGATGGGACATTTTGAAAAGATGGCTCAGGCTCCTGTGTGGAGAATGGACTACAGTCTAAACGGAAGTAGAAGACATGGGAGGACACTGCAACCAAGAGCACGGAGCTTGGCTTAAACCAGTGAGATGGGAAGCAGTCTGGAATTTAGAGTGTGGAAATACTAGCAACTGCTACAATACCCATTCTTTCAGAGTTGAGCATTTATGTGGGGTTCAAACACACAGAGATACAAATGGTTGTAATGTGAGCTGATGGGGAGTGGATTAGCCTGAGTTTTGTGAGTAAAAAGTTCAAATCCGGATTCCCTTTATTAACTAGTGGCCTTGGTCAAGCCATTTGCCTTTTTAGACTTCATTTTTCTCACCATAAAGTGGAATATGGAGCATACATGCTTTGGAGAGGTGTGTGGTGGGGCTTCAATGGAATAATCTGTAGACAGAATTTAGCTCACTACCTCTTGGCCCCCAAATTAGTGCTCAATCACATAGACTACTTATTATTAATCTTCAGTTTATTTTTCAATGAAAGTTTGTAAAAACTTTGTAAAGTTGTAATGGGATCAAGTGTGAAAAACCCAAGTCTACCAATGTGTGGGCCTCAGTAGGCGCCCAGCATGGAGGAATATCCACATGAATGGAAGTGCAAAGCTGGAGACACTGCTGATGTCACACGGATGGATGGCACAGAAATGAAGACGGAAAATGTTTCATGTTTTATACATCAGACTTACAATTATACTCCGGGAGATACAACAAAACTTCCTTCCAGTAAATTTTGTACCAGAATTCCATGTACTCCAATGGCTTAACAATTTATCAGTTCCCTCCTCTCCCTCTCACACCAAAAGAAACTCTTCCCCCTCATGACTCCTGACTGTCATTATGTATCTGCATGGACAGGAAACACAAATGTTGCAGAAATTTCAGGTGGGGGGTTCGTGTCTGCTACTTACCTGGATTTCTGCGGCTGCATCTGAAACCCAGAATTATCATCAAAGATGAAAGCCAGGGCAAGCCCAGATGCCGAACATTGCTTCCAAGCTGAGTAGAGACTGGAGAGTGAGCCTTAATCCCTGAACTTTATATCCCTTTCCATTAAATGCAAAGCCACTCTCTAGTAAATGGCCAAAAATTCCAGAAAACAAGGATTGTGTCTCTATTCTGTGGACAAGGAACACATGCCTTAATCCAGTGAAGGAACTCAAATGCATTTCACTGAACGAGTGGATGAATAAATGAATACATAGTCATATAGGGTGTTGGATTGAGACCACTGCTCAAACTCATCTGTCATCCTTGCTGCTGCTTCAAGAGGCCTGCTATAGATGGAGCATTTGTGTCCGCTTCAAACTCGTATGTTGAAACCTAATGGCCAATGTGATGGTTTTGGAGGTGGGGGCCTTTGGGACGTGATTAGGGATTAGTGCTCTTGGAGAAGAGGCCAAGAGAGATGGCTCGCTCCTTTTCCACCATGGGAGGACACAGTGAAAAGAGCCCTCACCAGACCCAGAATATGCCAGTGCCCTGATCTTGAACTTCCCAGCCTCCAGAACTGTAATAAATGTTTGTTGTTTAGAAGTCACCCAGCCTATGGTATTTGTTAGAGCAGCGGGAACCAACTAAAGAAGGCCCTTCGTGTGGCCACCTGAGCACCCTGACTTCAGGGTGTTCTTGATAGTGGGCTCTGCAGGAGGCACAAACATCAGTAATCTTTAAAGAAAGGTAGTTCATGAACCATCTTGAGTCTTCACACCCCTCAAACAGTGGTTCCGAACATCGCTATCAGAATCAATAGGCAGTTTTTCTAAGTACCCAAGGACAGGTCCCAGCCCAGATTGACTGATTCAGAGGCTTAGGTGATCTGGTGCATATTTCTGGTTTAGAACAATTGTTTTAGAATCTCAGAGGTCGCCAGGGGTATGAGAATATAGCACCTGCTACATGTACCAAAATTCCTACCCCTGTGGCAAATATCTCTAATTGGTTACTATACCCTTACTAGTTGAGTCTATACTCACTCAAAACCTTTTTTAAAGTATTTTTGATGGTAAAATATACTTGACATGAAATTTCCCATTTTAGCCATTTTTTTTAACAAGGATTTATTTATTTATTTATTTATTTATTTATTTATTTATTTGAGAGGGCATCTCTCATATTTATTGATCAAATGGTTGTTAACAACAATAAAATTCAGTATAGGGGGGTCAATGCTCAATGTACAATCATTAATCCATCTCAAGCCTAATTCTCGTCAGTCTCCAATCTTCTGAAGCATAACGAACAAGTTCTTACATGGTGAACGAATTCTTACATAGTGAATAAATTCTTACATGGTGAACAGTACAAGGGCATTCATCACAGAAACTTTCGGTTTTGATCATGCATTATGACCTATAAACAATCAGGTCAAATATGAATATTCGTTTGATTTTTGTACTTGATTTATATGTTGATCCCACATTTCTCCCTCTATTATTATTATTATTATTATTAATAAAATGCCATTTTAGCCATTTCTTAAGTGTACAGTTCAGTGGCATTAAATAAATCCACACTGTTGCGTAACCACCCCCATCATCTCCAGAACTTCATCTTCCCCAATTCAGCACTGATTCCCTTTTTCCCCCTCTCCAGCCCCTGGTAACCACCATTCCACTTTTGTTTCTACAGTTTGACGACTAGAGGTACCTCTTCAAAGTGGCATCCTTCGGTAGTTGGCCTTTTGTGACCAGCTTGTATCACTTAGCATAATGACCTCGAGGTTTATGCACATCTTAGCATTTCCTTCCATTTTAAGTCTGAACACTATCCATTGTTTGCATAGAGCACATCTTGTTTATCCATTCACCCATCGATGGACACTAGGGCTGCTTCTACATTTTACCTATTGTAAATAATGCTGCCAAGAAATTGGGTGTACAAATACCTGTTTGAGTCTCTGCCTTCACTTCTTTTGATATGTATCCAGAAGTGGAACTGCCAGGTCATATGGCATTGTTTAATTTTTTTAACAACTGTCGTTCCATTGTCCATGGAAATAGCACCACTGTACATTCCCATCAGCAGTGAGCAGGGATTTCAATGTCTGCACATCCTCACCAACACCTGTAATTTCCTGCTTTTCTGGATGGTACCCACCATAATGGGTGTGTCAGATCCTTAAGAGAGCACTTTAGGCAGCCATATTGTTTGGTCAACATTGACGAACAAGAATAAAGCCACTTGTTATTTATAAATTGTGATCATGTCATTTCCTAACTGTTCATGGGGAAATGACGGGAGGATTCCCAGGTAGTGACAGTTGGTGTTATTGGGGTTGTATAGGGGGTTATGGTGGTGACAGTTACTTCCTCATCCTACCTGCTCATCTCTGGGTCGCAGTGACCTCAATAGCCCCAAGTAGCCAATTTCTGACTCCTTGAATTCCTGCTTAAGGCAGAGGTGGTACCTCTGCTGGCAGGTGGGTGCTGGAAGGTGCTGGAGCATTTCTGGAAGTTGTTCCTGGATACCCACCAGGAGTTCACTCCCCTTATCCTTCCGAAAGTTTCTGTGTGCATTCAGTTTCCTATTAGTCCGTTCTGCTTAAAATACTTAATGTATTTTAAGTATTGCTAATTCCTGCAGTGGAGTTGAAATGGAATATGAAATTACATATTAAAAATTTAAATAAAATAAAAAATGAAATACGTCATTCAGGAAAAATTTAATTCTCAAAGAAGATTTCTTGAGTAGTATACCACCAAAGATGCCTGGTCTTCATTTAAAACAATTTTTAACTATCGTGGTAAATCATCAACTATTTAATGAGCAACTATTGGCTTGATGGTGAGATAATTTAACACTTATTTTGTCAAATTAGAAATGTCTATGTGAATATGTGAGAATTTGTATATGTGTGCATATAAAGAGATAAGACACAATTTGTGTTTCCAATAAAATCCTGAAAGAAAAATGCAAATATTGCTTGTTCTTTATTTTAATTTAACTCAAAATAGCTAATAACAAAAACATTTAAAAAATATCTCCAGCACTTGACCATTCAGTTATTTTGACAATTGATTATTTAGTTCTTACTTTGTTTGCAACACGTAGTAACCTACCCATCACAAATGTATCTCTAAAAGTTTACAGCAGGTTCTAAACCTCTATCTTTTAGATCCTAATCAAAACCATAATTTAATTATCCATTTTGAATCTAAAGAATTTTTTCCCAAATAGAAGCTTATATAAAAACCATAAATAGACTATTAGTTTTTAATGAAATTCCCCAATACAGCACATACACACTTTACATCTATGTTTTTTATCCTTTACTATTCACAATTTGAATGTTAGATGTACATGGAGTTACAGCATCAACACTTTTAACTTACATTAATTCAATATATGAGGTCCCTGGAAAGAAACCATAAGGGAAATAACAGTAAGTCCTCTGGCAGCACAACCTATTCAATGAATGGATGCCTTCAAGCAAACCACGATGAGGGTTGTCAATCTGGTGTCCTGTCAGCCATTGTCAGCTCACATCTGTCTCTTAGAGGGCAAGCATCTGGCTGGGCTAAGTGTGATTCTAGTGTTCACAGGTACATGCTGTTTATAAAAATAGCCCTAAACAAACACCAACAACCTCAACTGGTCTTCTGCCCTTAAAGAAATGGTCATTTCTTCCAACACTGGATGAAAAAGAGGCTCTGGTGGATAGACAGATTTCCAGTAGCATGCCTCTCTAAAGGGCTCTCAAGAAGAATCTCGATACCCCATTTTATCTTAGACCTGACATCAGAAGCGAACCCATAGGTCTGATGCAACTCCACTGTTGCATAAATAAAAATGCTATCATTTAAAGAATGCTCTGATATTGTCAGTATGATTTATTTTCCAGGTTTGCTCCTTCCTCCCATTTTGCAGTGTGTTTCTGTGACACTCTCCTGGAGCCAGCACTTGAGAATGTACCTACCACCAGCTGAGAACAATCTCATGAGGAAAAGAGTAGCGTGCCATAACATCTGGAAAGAACAACAAAAAAAGCTACCAAAGTTGATCAGTCTCAGTATGATTCAGGATAAGATTTTCAATTAGCAAATGTGCAACTAAAGCAGAGAGTAACCGTTTTGTCACCCTCGGTGCTCCCAGGATCTTGTACAGCCTTCTCCTCATGGGTTCGTAAATTGGCAGCTGCATTCCATTTTTTAAACACTTGGCCTTAACCTTAGCACTGCTCAGGTTCAGTTTCTATTTTTAAAAGCACCATTCTAATGGAAACATCCTTGCCCTGAATTAAGCTGGGACAGAGAATTTTACCACTCACTAGAGTTGTTATGTCATAGACTTTAGGTTGATTTGGTAGATATCGATTTCCTTGACTACGACTTCGAAACCCACTTCAGCTTCTCCGAGCCACGTAGGATTTCTACCTGGGCTGTAGATGAGGGTAAAATATCCCATGGAGAACTCCTTCAATGACCACGTTTGGAAAATCTGGAAAACAAAGGAAAACTGCTTTTCTCAGGCCCGTCAGTAAAATATAATTGCGCTTTGTAGAATCTACCAAGGGAAGGCATCCGGTAAGTGCGGAATCCACATCACCGTGCAGTTTGCCCTTGTTCCGGGCGTGCTATCAGTCATGCTGCTCCAGCCGGAGCCCCTGCAGTGTACCACCGGGCGCTGCTGGAATGCGCAGCTAGATTTGTAGCTTATTGATTTAAGGGATGTTCTAATGGTTAATGCTGCTAGGCCCCAGCTCTTTATCTGAATGTTTTCTCACAAGGAAGATGGATTACACTGGCAATTCAATTTCTAACAAAATCTCAATATACTTGAAGGAATTCCAAGATTTCTACTGGGAATACTTCGCTGCAGTTTTTCCATTGTGGTTTACAGCAGTGTTCGGTCCAAGTTGTCTTGAGTATATGCTTGCTCTATTATACGTGCTTCCAGTGAGCAGTTCGACAGGGGTCCGTCTTTCTAACTTAAAAGGGCAAATTTCCAACAAAGCCATCCTGTCAAGTTTGAAAAATCTGCTCCATTTTTACAAGAAATACAAGAGAAGCCCAGAGGTGTACGGTATGCTGTACCATATTCCAGTTACCAGGGCAGGCAAAATACGAATGGATATTTAAACAGGGGAACCGATCTATCACGTGGCTCAGATGTTTAATTTCTAAACTTCAATCCGTACATAATTATATCCAGGAATTATGCTAATGTCAACGACTTTAAATAAATAGTTATTATATAAGGAAATTAAGTGGTCCAATACTTGAAGACAAAACACCAGTGTGTTCACTTATTAATCCAGCCTCTATAGAGTACCTATTATATAAAGCCACTTACAAGGGGAGGACCTCACCGGGAGGGTAGGAAAGCTGGCGGAGGGGAGGACTGGCCAGGGGCAAGTCTGCAGCAGGAAGGAGCCTGGCAGCTTCTGAGACCCCAGTGGGGGCTGGGGCGGCAAAGGGGAGCTGAGGTAGGGGGACTCAGGGCAGAGGGCCAATTCCAATCTTGTAAAAATGGGCAGGGGTTGTGGCTTTATTTGAAGAGTGGTGAGAAGCTATTGAAGGATTCTAAGCTGAATGAGACAGAACTGAATTGTGTTTCGAAAAGATGATTCTGGCTGCTGTTCAGAGAGTGGGCTGGAGCAAGTTTGAAGCGATGAAGGATTTGATAGGACTCTTGAGGGATTTCATATAGTATCTACCTAACAGGTCGTTGTAAAAACTGACAGGTGGAACAAAGTATTTGGGCCTGAGCTTGGCACATGGTAGGTACCAGCTATTATTACATACCAAGAACAGTCTAATTCTTGGGGATATAAGTAATAACAGTCCCCAGCCATGCCACTGAATTTACATGTGAATCAGCGAGACAAACAAATAAATAAACAGAGTATGTTTTAAAATTATCTCCAATACCTGAGTATTCAGTTACTTTTGGTTGATGACACTAGATTTGTTAGTGTTTGCTTTTACCAACATGAACTACAATTTTTCATAAAATGTATCTTTAAGTTTGCAATAGGACTTAAACTTATATAGATCCCAATCAAAAGCAATAAATTAGCAGAGTTAATTTTAATTCTATATGTCTGCCACACAGTACATTGAAACCAACAGCCACTGAGATGCTTATTTACTAACCCAACCTTTATAGAGTACCTACTATGTGAAAACACTTGCAGGGAGCTGTTAATTTCAATAAAAGACCCCAATGGGACATTTTACATGCATTAGCATATATGCATTTATCTTTTGCCACCCAAAATATAAAAATCTATTTGAAGGCTAGTGAAATTACAACATAAGCATATTTAGCTTAACAGAGTTAAATAAATATGTTCAGCAGAAAAGGACAAATAGGAAAATAACATTAAATACTTTGGCTAATTCTACAGTCTCGTAATACGTCAAGTAGCAGCTTGAAGTCGAGGAAAAAATGGAAGGAAGGCATAGGGCTAGAGTGACAGGGGTCAGAGAGTGAGGGAGGCCTCTGTGGGAAGGTACCACGTGAATGAAGAGGTGCAACAGGCAGCTGAGGTATGTCTGTGGGAAGAGCATTTCCAGCAGAGGGAACAGCGCACGCCAGGGCCCTGCATCTACTGTCCAGCAAGTGCAGAGTATATGCTAGATGCTGAAGGGAGAATGCGACAGAAAGAGGAGGAAGGGAAGGAAGTCTGTGATCACTGCTATGAAGGAAGCAAACAGGGTGCTCTGATAAAACCGAATGGGACCGAGGTGTTTTAGCACAAGGCCCACCAACCAGTAACCAATGATGAGGCCATTTTTTTTCCTTCTCATCTGGTCTACTTGAACCTTGGATTCTGGCTTCATCATACATATAATTAAAAGCAATGTCCGCTATTGCATGAATTACTCAACAACCTCCTTTACCTTTGTTTCCCACTGCAAGTTGATGAGCAGGAACATGATTTAGGATAGGTTTTGTCGTTATTTTTGCTGGTCTTCGTTTATTTTATAAACACTTATTGTGAACCTTAGAAAAGATGAATGGGGGCTACTTGAGATGAGAGTCAGCGAAAGCTCTCAGAAGTTATACTTGCAAGATGACAGCACCAACGAGGTGTGGGAACAAGAGGTTGCAGGAGGAAGAAACAGCAAATGCCCCAAGAAGGAAAGGAGTTCAGCACCTCTGAAGTTCTGGAAGAATTCCTGGGAGGCTGGATCAGATGTGGGGGGTCCCAGCAGAAGCACGAGCCAGGGCTGGGCCGCAGAGGGTCCTGGGAACACTGGGACATGGGAGTGTGGAGTCTACCAGGAGGGCTGGGGTGGAAATACCTCATTGGGTCTCAGCTGTACAGGTGCGGTAAGACCACACGCAGGGTGGAGATGATCCAAAAACCAGTCTAATGAGAATAGGGGGCAGCCTTCCAGTGAGCTTCCAGAGACAGGAAGATGCGTAGGAAAGGGGGAAAGCCAAGAGGAGATGGTGCTGGGAAGAGTAGAAAGCTGGTGGTCAACAGGGGCTAAAGCTAGTGGACAGGAAGACTGGAAAAGGCCCACAGAGTGTAGCCACACTCAGGGCCTGGGAGCCCAGGCAAGAGTTGTTTTGAACTGTCCACAAAAATCAAAAGCCAAAAAGCACATAGTAAGAGAATCATGTTTGAGCATTAGCCTTTTATGACAGGACAGTGTTTGGCTGTCAGAACTTTAGAAAGACACTCCTTTGATTCTGTGAATGTTAGCGTGTCTGCGAAGGCATTTCCATATTCAGTCACCTCAACATTATGTGAAGAGGCCTAATAGCACAACAATATGCTGCAAGTAAAGTTGATTTTTAACTTAGGTACTAAAGATGTGCAAGAACATATCATTAGTGTAATACTTCTAAGACAATAGGAATCTGATTTATGAAATCGGGTTGGCCAAAATCCCCCTAGAAGAGGTCCAGTAAGTGGCTCTCCCATACCTGTCCATCAAACCCATGATTTTCATTTACCCTCAAACAAGAATCCCGTTTTTGTGCACCTCATTCATCCACACCAAGATTGTACCAAGGATATAAACTTTCTAGCTCCAGACATTTGCCCTGATGTTCTTTCCCAGAAAGTTCCTCCCATTCTCTGCTGTCAAGCCAGGTGCACAGCACATGCTGTTTAATTAGCTGGATGACTCAGAGTTCCAGATCTCAAAATATCTTTACTCTTTCATAAAGCATCCTGGCTATTCTTGTCCACAGGGACCACTCTGCTCTCTCTAGGAATTTCAGTCTAACGCATAAAGTATCTGAGCATAAACACTAACCTGGAAAAAGTATTTTTAAAAGATAATGAGAATGCTTTATAAAACATTGCCCACTTAACCTAGATTAGGTTACATTATGAGTATTTGTTAAATATAGCATTTTGTTTAACCTAATATCAATGAATATAACATGCACATTTGTTAAACGTGGGAAGCAGATGGTAAAGAAAGGCAATTATTCCTCACTGGAAGGCTTTTATAGGAGAAACACTACAAGACTATATTCTCATATAGCAAAGGCAGTTGCCTCTGATCAGGGTGCTAGGAATCGTCTCTCAGCAGAGCGGGGCTGCATCCTGGCCGGCCTTCTTCCAACTGACAGCTAAGTGGGTGATTTGTGTGCACACATTCCTGCTAGAGTGGACAGCCCTGTCTCTCCTGGTGATAAAGTTTTATTTATTTATTTGGAATGCAGGAATGGTTTCAATAGATAATTTATCTATTCTATTTAGTCGTTACACCGTTTAGTTACTTTCAGATACAAAGGCTGAACTTCACTATATGCTAAGAGCAGTGACGGAGAAATGAGGCAGCAGGGGCCCAGCCATCAGCCACAGGAGACTGGCCAAGTCAGGGACCTCCCAGAGCCCCAATTATCTCATTTGCCAATGATGATACCCAGCCTGCCTATTTCATGAGGTTGCTGAGGAAACTGAATGAGATAATGTCTGAGAATGTACTCATGAGGAGCTGCATAATGGAACACTCTGAGAGGGACTCTGAGTAATTTAAATTTCTTGGCACAAAGGACAGACTCAGGCTAAAATACTGAGTCCATTTATACTTAAATTAGTTCATTATATTTAAATATACAACTTGTAAAAATATATATCCGACCCTCAAAGAAGCTATAATCTAACTGGAAATGGAGATATGCGTGCAAGGTATATACACAGCTTTGGGAAAGAGCCCTTTAAAATGGGACCAGAGCCTCACGTTGAAACACTAGCATCTGGATAGAAACAAGCAGAGGCCAAAATATCACCATCAAAAAAAAAAATTAAAGACAATAAATACCTTTCCCCTTTATTACTCTAATTCAAAGTAGCCTGGAAGAGAGAAAGAAAAATTAAATTTCCTCCTGAAAGGCCTGCCCCAATTAAAATTCTGAATGTCTCGTATACCAAGAGCCCTGGTTTATTGGCAGATTATTAAGCCCAGGACCAATGTCACTCTGTTAGACCTATATTAAAAATGTGGTTTATGTGGTACGGGGTCAGATCAGTAAAGAGCTGTTAGCAGATGACAGGTTTGATTACCGCTGGCTGCAGGCAAGACGTATGGATCCCTGAGGAACAGCAGCACGGGCTGGTGGGATAGTTTGCTGCAAAGGTCAAAAACAGGCATGTCAGCATCAGGGGACGACGGTAAACAGAAAACACTACAAACTAGCTTTGAGGGGATCAAACTGCTGAGCAGGGGCATCTCTAGGCTGGTGTATCTCCCGGTGTGGGCGAGGAACGGCAAGCAGAGGCAGAGGGAGCGAACCACCACTCAGGCCCTCTGCCACCCACTTCTTGGCAGAATTTGAAGCAGATCTGCAATCTGTACAATAAATCATTGCTGAAAAGTGTGGGTTTTTTTTTTAATCTTGTAGTAACAATTATTGATAAAATAGGTTCTTTTTCTTTACCTCCCAGATGGAACTGGTTACTTCAGTAACTTCCTATCAAATATTTATAATCTTAAAATCAACTTCCTAAGGAAGATTTCAAGAAAATCATAACTTGAAACAACACTTGTGCCATGGGAATTAAACATTTAATATTAAACATTTAACAAAACTTCATTGCTCTTCTTGGTTTGTGTAACTCCTGACTGGCTCCGATTGGTTCTTACCTTGATCCCTCAGATTCTGTCTCTTCAAAAGATCTAAAAATTTTTTAAAAGAGAAGAAAAAGACCATATAAGTTGGACCAACGTTTGTGCATGCTAATTATAATGCCTCACAATCTCCTCCTCCCCACCACCAACCCGCCCTCCCCCACCCCTCCCCTTTGGTAACCGCTAGTCCCTTTTTGGATTCTGTGTTTTGTTCCTTCAGTTTTTCTTTGTTCTTATACTCTACAAATAATGAGTGAAATCATTTAGTACTTGTCTTTCTCCACCTGGCTTATTTCACTGAGCGTAATACCCTCTAGCTCCATCCATCCAACATCTTTTCTTAAAAATACACTACACATGAAACCCAACTTCCCAGTAAATGCACACAAGCTGCAACAGGACACATTAACAGTGCGCATTATTTCGTGAGCGGGGTGTAGAACTCTTGCTCTGGAGTGAGTGGAAAGTGGCCCTGAGTAAACTCTGCAGGTGAGGAAGCTGTGGAAGGTGTTTACAGCCTTCTGTCCAGCAGACGGCTGGGGTTTAACACACACCTCCGGGTGTGGTTAGCTTGCACGTCTTGTAGTTGCGATGGGTCCTTTGGGCAGGTGTGGAGATGACAACAAGATAGTTAAAACCCTCTCCCTGCTTGAATTTGCAGAGAGTTTATGGTGTGTTTCTTTGCAAATGGATGGAACATGTCAGGGATACTGCTGACTGCTTTCTGCTCAGCACAGCAGGTGCCCAGAGCTGGGCAAGTGGTTGCTTTGCAGTTAATTCTTCAGAACTCTTCCCAGTGACAGATGGTATCAAATACCTAGTGCCTTGGTGGAGAGAGACTGGGATCTGCAGCCCTGCATTTAGAGGTTCCTACGGGAGAGGCGCGGGGCAGGGGGAAGAGATTACATGGGACGGCTGTGCTCTGCTGGGCCCAAGTTCAGAGATCCTGGGAAAGGCACTAAATTCCTGTGTCTCGTTTGTTCAACTCTACAGTGAAGGCAGTGGGGTAAAACCATCTCTAAGATCATTTATAGCTTTAAGATTTTTGAATATATGCGCCAAGGGAATACAGATTTTCTCAAACATTCACAATAAACATATTAGTTCCTGAACAGGCTATCTAGCTTCACATTTCCCATCATGTAACATCACTCCATGTAACAGCTTAATTTAAGAAGTAAATTCCTTAAGTCTATACCTGAGTTACTGGATGTTGGTCATTTGGCAGCAATACGGGGTTGAGGACTCGGGAGAAATTCTTTTGACTATGTGCAGGCGGTGAGGGAGTGCTGTCCCAGGCAAAGGAACGCGAGTGGCCAGGCTGGCCCTGCTGGCCCCACTTGGGTTATTCATTAGGCCAATGAGTGATTGAACAGTACCTTAAGATACATGTGCAATGTGTGAACAGTTCTTACCCACAGCTCTCCGCCTTTGGTAAAGAGGGCAAGTGCCGTACATTTAGGAAGTCAAGGAACAGTTTGGGAAGTTCTTCATTTTCTAAAATGACAGCCTGTGAGAGTAGAAAACAGAATAAGAAACTGAAGTCAGCTGGGCAATCAATTAAATGCACAAATCAAAGAATTCCTAGCCATCCATCAAGATTCTGAACAGCATCGTTCCTCACAGTCCATGTGAGGTGTGGTCCCCACTTTGCCCACTAAGAATGTGGGCCAACACATGCTCTTCATTGTCAGCAAATGCCCCGTTTATCTACTCTTTCAGCCAACCAGCACTTAAGGAGCACCCACTATACTTCAGCTGCTGACGAGGGAGCAAGACCGTGGGTCACTAGGCAGACACAGTTCCTGCCTTTGTGGAGATTCTAATGCAGAAGGAGTGTTTCAAAATCCTGGGAACACCAATAACATTGCTAAGATATGTACACTAAATTTTCCTGAGTGATAAAGTAGTCTGACATGTGTGTGCATGCACGTGTGTATCTATAAGAGACCACTACTGTTTAGGAAATATTATACATGGCTTTTTTAACTGGAAGATTTACTCGAGATCCCTCAGGTATCCCCAGTTTTGGCATTAGGAGCAACTGACATTTATTGCTGTTTAGACAGCTCCACTTAAAGGGTCAGTAACAACTTTACCACTAAGTGTTAATCAGCATATACACTGGAAAAAATCTATAGAGTTCTTCCATTTAGGGAGCTCTGCTAAAGAGCTGGCATAATGGCATAACCATGTTAGTTCTCAAATATCCAAATGATGCAATTTCAAGGAGAAATCTAATGGAGAACTATAGAGTGCATTTTCATACATAGCTGTTTTGTAACAGCATCTGCCAGAGTGTGTGAGCTGATTGCACAGTTGCCCCTCCCTCCCTTCTATTATAAAGTCCATGGAAATAGCATTGAAGATTGTATAATAATCTCTGAAATTAATATAGCTTTTCTCAAGGGTCATTCTTATAATTTACCAAGCACCTCCACCCCCACCCAATAAGTACATGTTGTATAAAGAACTATGAAAACTGATGGTGAAATGCCGTTCACACAGATGATCAGGGACAGAAAAGTACTTGGCATTGTACTTTATTCGCATTGTACTTTATTCATCAAACCAATATTTACTGAGCATCTATGATGTCAGGCACTGGGATATGCAGTGAATACTATGGGTCCAGTAGAGTGTGGGCAGGTGGAGAAAATTAGCCATCACCCAGTAAACAAACACACACAAAACTTAAACTTGCCCTAGAATATACTGACATGGAACTGAAAAATCTATCACTTCCTAAATGTTTTCCCAGTCACCTTCTCATCCATCTATCTATCCATCTAAGATGTTTACTCTTTTCTTGATTACCCAAGTAGAAAAATGAAAAAAATTCATAAAACAGAGAAACTCCTATCCAGAGGCATAATTTCATTAGTACTGTAGTTTATTGCCTTCAAATCATTTGGCTTTCATCTAAATTTTTATCTACCCAAAGCAACTTTTGGGGTACCCAGAAGATCATTATTTAATGCACAGAACTCAAAGGTTCTTGGAATCATCATACATATGAAGCTTCAAGGAATTTTTGCCCTAACATTAGTAGCAATGGTTATCTACCATTCTAGATATCTAAGAGGATGATATAATACTTACTTGAATATTAAAGCTTCATATTATAACAAATACAGAGCTGTTCACCCAGGCAATAGTTTTAATTATGTGTACAAGTGGTAGTTTTCAGATTAAAAAAAATGGGGGGGGGTAACATTCTTATCTCCACCCCCACCTTTTAAAATAAATTAAATCAATAACAAGTGTGGGACACTTTTAATGACCTGAACTACTTAATTTCCAGGATCTTTAGACATGTCATCCATCACTGCAGTGTGGAGGAAGACATCTCTTGAGTGTTCAGGGGGTTACTTTGGTTTTATTAATGCAAGATTTAGGGAATTTTAACAAGGTGAATTGTTTATTTGCCTTGACAGATTGGCTTACAATGCACTGGCTACATCTATAGCATGATCATTAATGACAAAAGACAGGCAAAAAGCTGTTTACACTGCAACACCAGGACAGGAATTAATCCTGCTCAGCCTCCCCAAGCACAGTACTCCTAATAGATGATCGTGTTGTTTTAGGAAAGAGATACTGGCAAAACAAGGGAATCTAGAAAGCGGGTATTCAATGAGTGTTTTTATTAAATGCCCACTGGATATTCTCAAATAGTGTATTCCACAGAACAATGACCAATATGGATTTCAGGATTTAGTTACAAAGAAAGCAGCATTGGGAAGGGGTTAATTAAGCACTCAGTTACCTGGTGGGAGTACTTCCTAAACTCTGCTAAAAAGGCTCATAAGAAAATAATTAATACACAAGCCCAAACAGGGATAGAGTGTAATTTACTTAATTTAATATGTACAAGTGAAATAACTGTCATTAATTAGTACAGAGATCAAAAGAGCAATTAAATTAGTTTAACCAAATCTTTTGATTCCTAACCATGTGCTCTCCTTCCAGGAGGGACCCACTGGTGAAATGGGACCTCATGACAGTTCCACTTACATCTTCTTCAGTGTCTTGAAAAGCTTTTGCTCAAGAAAAACCATTCCTTGAAGTTCCACCCTGGGTCATCCCACATGCTTGGGACTCCCATCTGGTCTAAATCACCCAACCTTATTCAATAGGTAAGCTCTCGATTTACAAAAAGTATAAAACTTACATTTTTGAATATCAAATCATATTTCCCCACTGTTTCAGCTTGCATATCTTTACTTTTGATTGCTCTTCCCTGGTTAGTCATTTGCATTCTTTAGCGAGGTGGTATGGTGTTGTTTGAAGTGTGTGGCTTGATAGCAACACCTGGGTTTGAACAACTCCTATCTCCCTTGTGGGGCCTTGGGGGGATGAGATCTCCCCAAGGGTCTCTGGCACACAGCTGGCATCCCATAAATGCCCACTGTTTCCTTTGGATCTCTTTGTTATATCAATTCTCAACAACCTAATGCATCAGTTTTGGAAGTCTGGATTATTGTCCAGTTAACAAACAGAGCTTCTTAGACCCCTCAGTCATGATCTCTTTGCAGGTTGGATGAAAGCTGAGAATCTTGCATGCTGAAAAATACACATACATTTTTAATTGTGCTGACAGTGGCAGGGGGTTCACAGGCCCCTGGCAGCCAGCCGAGGATGCCTGCTTTCAGCTCTGATGTGGTAGTTTCACTACGCGGCACACTTTTCATCTGGCCTGGCGCCTGAAGCACTGGCGGGCCCGTGCCGTATGCCAGCTTCCCGAAGGAGGCACTGGCTTTCCTGTTTCGGTTTTCTAGTTCTTTGTCAATTAGAAGCCCTGTGGAGCTGCCTCGCTATTGCAATTCATTACTGCTTTCAGGTCTGGGCAACAGCTGAAAATATCTGTTTGGCGGTGAGGCTACCCTGGTGAAGGAGTCTTTCTGACAGACCAAAATCTGCTGCTGCATCGAATTTAGAAAGAAGTTCACGTTCTGTGTCCTTTATGTGACTCCAGAATTCAACAATCTGTGGTGCTGAGGGTTCCCAAAGCCAGCAAACCTGAGTATGATTTACACTCTAATACTCCTAGGTCAGAGGACAGCTGACGAGGCACCAGTCCTCTACACCTGTTACACGAGGGGCATTTTGAGCTGCAGGGCAGTGAAGGGTTCCAGGCCCAGTGCCGTCTGACTGATCAATAATTCTGATGGTAAAATTTGGACAGTGGATGCAAGTTAGAACGCATGGCTGGGCAACTGATTTATGCAGCAAAACATCAGAATTCACGATGAATGTCACTAGCTGGAGAACAAGTTGGAAATACATTCCATTAAGTTAAATCTTACAGGGTAGAAGTACTGAGTCAAGTAAGAGGCAGAGTGAATTACCCAGACACAAGATGCAGAGGAACTGTTCGTGTACAAATGCTGCTGGTCTCAAGTGGCAGGTCAGCAAGAAGTGCAGACTCCACAAGGTGTGAGAGGAACACAGCAATCCTCTCACTCTGCTTGAGGCAGTATTATCCAGCCCCCACAGAGAGCAACAAAAGAATAAACTTAGGAAGAGCTAGAGGCAAGCAATGAAAATGATTGATTAAAAGATTCCAAACAGTTTCCCTAAGAAGAGGGCACCTGCTAGTGGGGGCCAGGTGTGGAATGAGGCTGTGGAGGGCCAAGGAGATGACACGCTCTTAGAGTAGACTACAATTCTGTTAGGAGGGGTGGCGATTTTCAAAGCTGCTGGAACAAGAAAGGACTGTGCAAACCAGCAGAGAAGGCATCTGCCTCTAACTGAAGCCTGTGTAACGAAACCAGCAGAAGTGGCCCAAGTGTGGGAAGAGTCCGCATGATATGAGCTTCTGAATATCCCAGGCCCGGAATGTCTTTTAGCTGCTCTTTCATACACATGCTGACTGGGGATGCTACAGAGTGAACTGAAGAATGCACTTAAGGAAATTTCCATCCTATTTCTCACTTAGGAGGTCAGTAGACTAAAAATCAGGTTCTGATTTAAGATGCACACAGGAAATAGGGTTGAACAACAGAACGGTGTCAAGTGGATATCCTATGAAACAGACTTTGTTCTTACTATATCCCACTCTGATAAACATTAAAATCAGGGACTTGAGTGTACCTTTTAAGAAGCAAAAACATAATTACTATTTTTTATACCATGTTCTTTACTTGGAGAAGAATAAATGACTTTCCTTAACATAGACCATATGCTCCTTCAGAATTACTGCTCTAAAAGAATGGGGGGAAAAAATCTTATGCTCTGTGAAAACATTTACCAAAACACTGCTTGCATGAGGCAGAAAAACAACAGCATTGCTATCAGCGTCCCCTGCAAGCTCAATGTTTACTCCACGAGAAATGTCTTTTTCGTTGAAAAGAGGCAATTATCATCATGTACCACAAATCACAAAATCCCAATTTTTCTACCTTATCAGCTTTACAAAAACATGTTCCCAAAGGATACCATTGATTAGTTGTACGTGTTCCTTCTCTGACACCCCAAATACTTAATTGTCAGTTATCTTTTCTTCTT